GCTTCATGAGTCTGTTTATTAGAGTGTCCTTTGAAAAAAAAAAAAAAGCTGACAAAATAGTCCCAAAAACAGCTCAGCGAGAGCGTTTAAAAAACAGAGGCAGGGGTGCTTGGGTGGTGTAGTTGGTTAGGTGTCCAATCTTGATCTCAGGGTTATGAATTCAAGCCCCATGCTGGGCTCTATGCTGGGTAGAAGCCAACTTGGAAGGAAGGAAGGAAGGAAGGAAGGAAGGAAGGAAGGAAGGAAGGAAGGAAGGAAAGAAGGGGGGAAGGAAGAGTAAAGAAAGAAAACACAAGAGGCAAATACAACTTTCTAATGGTTTAGCGTGATCCAATAGCATTCCCCAAACTGCTTCTCAGCACATTCAAAAGTATTCTGGGAGGGGTGGGGGAGTGCTGGGTGGCTCAGTCAGTTAAGCACCCAACTTCAGCTCGGGCCATGATCTTGTAGTTTGTGAGTTCGAGTCCCATGTCGGGCTCTGTGCTGACAGCTCAGAGCCTGGAGCCTGCTTCCAATTCTGTGTCTCCCTCTCTCTCTGCCCTTCCCCTACTCACACTCTGTATCTCTCCCCTTCAAAAAACAAATAAACATCAAAAGTATTCTGTGGGGAAAAGGTTCCCATGTGGAGGAGTTCAAGACGAAATCAGGATTAAACAAAACCAAGCAGGTTTCCTAACAAGGGAATTTTCAAGAGCTTTTAACACTCCAGCATTCACGTGCATCTCCAAATTCAGGTGAAGGACCCATTCTCTCCCGGGTTCATCTCTGGAACCCTCCTCTCCACCCACCGCCAGTTTCTTCAGTAGGACCTCTTAAGAGGCTCACAGAAAGCTGGAGACCCTTGGAGCATGGTGTGAGAAATGCGGATTTGGAGGAAATGGGAGAGCTAAACTGCAAGTGAAATCCTTCGGAGCCAGGCGTTTCATCCAGTTGGCCGTGCGATGGTCTAAAGCCGTGGCATCTGACAGGGCCCAGGCCTCAGCTGGTCTGCTGTTCTCATGACCAAATTAGAGCACCTCTTCCTCAAGCTCCTCTTTTCTAGGACTCGCGTTCTTAGTTCAAAGCAGTGGAGGATGAAGACAAGGACCTCTCAGAACCGGGGGGATGCTCCACCTCCACCAAGCGGGAACAGGTGTGCACCCCTGGGGGCCCAGGCCAGGTGCAAAGGTGGGGTTCCCTTTGCTCGTGGCTTAGCTCCTTGGAGTTGAGGGAGCAGTTAAGGGGGTAGGGTCTCACCCCTAGCTGTGCTGCATGTGTCCCAGCAGATAAACAGAAGAAGGTCAAGGAAGAATTCCAAGTTGAAGTGTGAACTAGAGCTGGCCAAGAGCTAAGGGGTGGGCAGGGCAGGAACGTTAAGCTTATTTTTTTTTTAATTTTTAATGTTTTATTTTATTACTGAGACAGAGAGAAACAGAGCATGAGTGGGGGAAGGGCAGAGAGAGAGAGGGAGACACAGAATCCAAAGCAGGCTCCAGGCTCTGAGCTATCAGCACAAAGCCCAATGCGGGGCTTGAACCCACGATCTGTGAGATCATGACCTGAGCTGAAGTCGGTCACTTAACCAACTAAGCCACCCAGGCGCCCCAGGAACGTTAAGTTTAGAGGCGGCAGTGGGAGATAGGTCTAGGTCCCAGAATCACTCTGAACTGAGAGAAAACATGGCTTTGGAGGTGCGTTACCTGATTTCTGAGATCTCAGGGATAGATGCATGGTGCAAATTCTGAGCTGGTCAAAAGTGGCTTCTTCTACCTCTCACTAACTGACAGTCCCAACCTTGGTGGCTTAAATCAGGGACATCAACAACTCAGCAGAGATCCAGATTTGGGACCTGAACCACAGGATGCTCCCCAGCCAAAATGGAAGGTAGAGAGATAACATACGTGTCGAAACTCCGAAAAGGCCAGTTATGGAAAACACATGTCCAGAGATGTGCGTCACGGGGCTACTGATAATGGTGGAAAATGGAAAAGCCTAGACATTGCACTCTTAGGAACTCATGACTCAAGAAAATACGCTACATTCGCGTGGCAGGATATCCCACAACCTTCACAAATGATGTGAAGAACATTTATTAACACAGAAAAAGATGTAGGATACACTACCAGGGAAAAATACAGGTTCCCAAAATATAAATAGCAGCGTCCCATTTTAATGGGAAAAATATTTTTTGTGCAAGTATGCACAGAAAGAAGTCTGATAGGAGATCTCGAAATGAAAACTGGTTCTCCGTGGGCTGTGAGGTCCCTGATTACTGATGTTTTTTGTTCATCAGCAATTCCCTTTCTTAAAAATAAAGATGGATAGTTCTTTTACAAGATTATTGTTTAAAAACAGGGAAAGAAAGCAAAGTGCGGTTTCGAACTTTCTGCAGTCGGTGCCCGAGGCACTCACACTTTCTCTTGCTTCATCTCCCCTTCTCCGGACTTGATCTTCATCATCCCCTTCCTGTTACTTTGTACCAAATCCCTTTCCTAGGTCTCCCCAAGCAGCCTGTCCTCAGACCCACAGGTGCTCTGAAGGGGACTTGGGTGTAGCCGGCAAGGTGCACAGAGGCAGGAATTCACTGTGAATTCGGAGAAAACGTGGTGCACAGAGGCAGGAATTCTGGAATAAGAGCTAAGGCACCAGCCAGCCCAGGGCAGAAAGGAACAAGGACAATGGGGCGTCTGGCTGGGACACAGTCCTCGGTGGCCGCTGGCATGTGAAGTGAGGGTGGGTTGGCCAAGAGCAGAAGCCAGGCATGGATCAGACAGTTTGACCTCATGACATCACTATCTTCTCACTCCTTCCCTTGGTGAACTTGAGATAGGGCCTGAAGCTCAGATCAGCAATGTCTTTGCAGGGCGTGGGGCTGTGGTTACCAGAGGGCCCATCAGGAGAATTGGCTCTGGCTTCCCCACTCAACAGGGAAAAGTCTAACCTCCACTGAGGCTGTACAAATGAAGTTCCTTATAGCCCCGGGGCTGCGGGGGGTGGGGGGTGGGGTGAGATGTGTGAAGCCATAGGACAAAAGAAACTACATTTCAAAGGGGGAAAAGCTTTATGAAGAATTAATGAGCTCGTATTTGTACAGCAATTAAAAACTACATTTTATTTGAAGATTTGGAACGACTCTAAGTTTTCAAAATCTAATACGACAGCAAACACAAACAGAACACAGAACAGCAGGAGAATCCTGGCTGAATTCAGCAGGTTATATCTCCAGAGACATCTTGTACTTCCCCTGAGTTGGATCTGCTTCAGGCTACACACCAGCAACTGCACACACTCACTTCTCCCTGAAAAGCGCTGGTTCAGACGATCACCCAAGCGTCTCACCTCCATGTGTCGGGGGGAAGATCTGTGACATTACAGTTGGTGACTAAAGCAAGGTGTATGCATTACTGAGACTCCTCTGGGCAGGGTCTGATGGAGGCAGGGGGCTTAAGTAGTCTCCCACAATTTCTTTTTTTTAATTTATTTTTTAATGTTTTATTTATTTCTGAGAGAGAGAGAGAGAGAGAGAGAGAGACAGCATGAGCAGGGGAGGATCAGAGAGAGAGGGAGATACAGAGTCTGAAGCAGGCTCCAGGCTCTTACCTAGCTGTCAACACAGAGCCCGACGCGGGGCTCGAACCCACGAACTGTGAGATCATGACCTGAGCCGAAGTCGGACGCTTAACCGACTGAGCCACCCAGGCGCCCCATTCTCTCACAATTTCCTACAGTGTTATTGTCTCTATTCAATCAAATTAAAAACTGAGCCCCAATGAAGTTGAAATGACTTGTCTAAGGTCACACAGCTCATAGAATGACAAAAGCTGGGTGTCCAACTATAAAGCCAATGCAGATGATAGTTAAGCCAAGGCACTTTTACGAAACAAAGTTGGGGTGCCTGGGTGGCTCAGTCGGTTGAGCATCCTACTCTTGATTTCGGCTCAGGTCACAATCCCGGGGTCAAGGGACAGAGCCCTGTGTCCGGCTCCACGCTTAGTGTGGAGCCTGCTTAAGATTCTCTATCTCCCTCTGCCCCTATTTCTGTCCTTCTCTTTCTCTCTCTCCTTCTCTAAAAAAAAGAAAAGAAACAGGGGCATCGGGGTGGCTCAGTGGGTTAAGTGTCTGACTTCAGCTCAGGTCATGAAATCACAGTTGTGAGTTCAAGCCCCACATCAGGCTCTGTGCTGACAGCTCAGAGCCTGAAGCCTGCTTCAGATTCTGTGTCTCCCTCTCTCTCTGTCCCTCCCCTGCTCATGCTCACTGTCTCTCTCTCAAAAATAAACATTTGGGACCTGCTTCAGATTCTGTATCTCCCTCTCTCTCTGACCTCCTCCCCCGCTCATGGTGTCTCTCTCTCTCTCTCAGAAATAAATTAAAAAAAAATTTTTTTTAAATAAATATTAAAAAAAAAGAAACAAAGTATTTCCTAAGTCACAATGGTAGGATGTGAGAAACATGGACACAATGTGCTGTTAAAAGCCATCATCCTTAGCGGGGCGGGAGTCAAAGGAGCTTTCATGTTTTACTTTATATTCTCCTATAATATTTGGGCTGTTATAACCAATGTATTTTCCTGATGGTGGTTGCCCAATGATACCAAAAGGTTATTCTTTAGACACTAGCCCTAAATAGCTTTCCTTGGTCTGATGTCAGGTTCATCCAGCTAACTTCCTGATTACTTGGCTTTCCATAGAGCTGGGTAGCAGCGAGAGGGGGCTCTGGCCAAGCTGACATCAGTGTGTTATCCATCTGGTTTTCACTTCTCATTGTAAATGAATGCAGCTCAACACATTTTTATTCCTCCTATCCCCAACCCTTCCCACTCTAGCAAATAGAACAGAGTATTATTATGTGATTCAGGTCAAAGCAGTGAAAAGACACAGAGTCCCTTTGAGCATAGGAGCACGCAGGGATTAGTTCCCTCTTGGCCATGAACAGGCTGATTGTCAATGCTTGACCCTGGGTCAGGCAGGAAGTAAAGGCTTCTTTTCTTCCACCTACTGCCGTGTTACTCAGAAATCTTTCTCCTGCAAGGGACAGAAATCCAACTTGAGCTGGCTTGAGAATAACAATTGGGGTGGATTTTGTATGTTAATATAACTAAAAAACCCAAAGAAGATAGAGCTCTCACTGCAGGTATGGCTGGATCCAGGCATTCAAACTATGCCATCAGGGCTCTTCTGACGCTCTGCTCATCTTTCTTTCCTGCCGGCCTTGCTCCCAAACAGCTTCTCTGCACACCGAGGTCCTAGCAGCCCATGAGTTTCACTCTCCAGTTGGAAACCCAGCGGTAAGAGAAACTTCTCAGCAGAAGGTACAGAGTTGAGCCTCCTTGGCTTGGTTTAGAGCGCATGCCTGTGTCTGAAGCAACTGCCGGAGCCAGCAGGGTGGAAAACGCCGGCTGGTCTGCCCTGAAGCACATCACCCTCCCCCTTGCACAGAATGGGAACCATACGGAATGACAGCGGTCAGCAGTGGTAAAGGAAAAACAGGTGCCTGAAGAAGGCAGAATGGATGCTGGGCCTGGGGGGCAGAAAACCAGATGCCCAGCGGCAGATGCAAGACCCCCTTCAGCTTGATGTGAGGGAAAACAGAAAGCAAAGAAGTAACCAGTTGTCAAAATGAAGGCCGAGAAGAAACACCTTGGCGAAGTTGGAATTTGGGGAACGGGATTTCAGAGACAGAGGCCTTGGGGGGAGGGCGGTTCCTGCCCCTTGGGGTGGAGGAAAGAGCTGAATCCGAAGAGCTAGACTCCATGTGGACCTCAACAGATAAGGTGAACCGTAAAGGACCAGTCAGTGCGTCATTCTGGAGTCAGCGAGGCCTACGTGACACATTTTTTTGAGGGAGTGGAGGGTGGAGCGCCACCCTCTGTTGTTCCGGGGAAAGTGGTGGGATCATGATTTCGTAACTGTCACACTGCTTACATTTGTCAGTCCCACATGAGTCCCGGTGGGTGGAGCTGGCTTCCCGGAAGCCAATGGCCTCTGCACGAGCTGATGAGATTGAGTTCCTGGACCCAGGAGGCTGGGAAACTGACCTTGGGTACTGGTAGGTTCCCCAAAGCCCTGGCCCCAGGGGAGTCCACTTGGAAAGCTGCCAGCAGGCCTGCCCTGACCGCACCCTGTCTTTCTTCCTAGGCCTCACAGTGCACCTCCTTACAGGCTGGGCCAGGAATGCCAGGAGACATCCCCGGGCTCAGGGCTTGGCTCACAGTGACCCCCAATAAATGGCAGCTGTTCTTACCATCACTGAGGACGCACCTGTCTAGCACACAACAAACAGCCCCTATCGTCAGTTGTGCGGAGACAAGGCGGGCCCCCAGTGTGATGCTCGCGAATCCGTGGCTGTTAATACAGCTGCTGGGACTGAAAAGGAGCCGGCTCCAGCAGCAGGTACTAATGACCCATGAGTTGGGGGCGCCTGGGTGGCTCAGTCAGTTAAGCGTCCGACTTCGGCTCAGGTCATGATCTCACCACTCGTGGGTTTGAGCCCCGCGTTGGGCTCTGTGCTGACAGCTCAGAGCCTGGAGCCTACTTTGGATTCTATGTCTCTTTCTTTTCTGCTTGTGTGCCCTCTCTCTCTCTCTCTCTCTCTCTCTCTCTCTCTCTCTCTCTCCCTCTCTCTCATAAATAAATACATATTTTTAAAAAATTAAAAACTAACTAAAGAAAGACCCATAAGCTGTTTGGGTTTCAGTTTTTCTATGTTGACCTGGGCTTTCTCCTGCCCACCACCACCCACCACCACCACCCACCACCCACTCAGAATTCTTTTCCCTTCACTTCTCTTTTCTTTGAAAATTTTTCTAGTGTTTATTTACTTTTGAGACAGAGAGACAGAGTGTGAGCAGGGGAGGGGCAGATAGAGAGGGAGACACACAGGCTCCAGGCTCTGCGCTGTCAGCACAGAGCCCGACGCGGGTCTGAAACTCACAAGCCGCGAGATCATGACCTGAGTGGAAGTTGGGTGCCCCCCCGGGGCACCCCATCACTTCTCCTTTCTTCACGAGGCCGCCTGTTTGCAAATGCACTCAAAGCACAAACTGTTTCCTGCTGACCCTGAAAGCAGGGAGGGTTTTCTCTGAAACCTGGCTGTGGTGGTGTTTCTCAAAGTGGGTTCCCCCTGTGCACCTGCGTCAGTATCAATGCAAGATGTCTATTAACTGTGCCTGAAGATTCTTAGATCCCATCCTGATCTGCCAGAGGAGCTTGGGGCCTAGAAATCTGAGTTTTTAAAATCTCTATGGACAGAAGTGGGGAAGGGGGGACTCGAATGCATCTCAAAGCTCATAAGTCACCATGTTGCTGGTGCTCTGAGGCATCTGGGGTTTCCTGGCCTCAACAGGAGAGTCCTGATTCATGGCATGTGGGCCCTGCCCCCTTTGGCAATTCAAAGTCTCCAGACCCACAAGTTACTGATTAACCCTAGGCTTCAAGAGAAGAAATAATAACAACTAGAGAGAAGACGCAAGTCAAGAAACGAGCAGAGCAGCCCAGGAGAGGGGTGTCAGACGGCCGCTGTCACCAAGCGCCTGCGGAGAAGGAAAAGGAGGCTGAGACGCCCAGCCTGAGGTCAGACTGCATCCAGGCCCCAGCGGCGCTGGCTGACACCCCTCGTCAATGCCCAGGCCCCCCGCCGCCACGTCCCGCTGACTCCGTGCCCGGGATGGCCTGTGCGCAGCCAGCCCCCCGGGAGCCCCAGCCCATCTCCACCAGAGCCACCGCCACTGAGGCCGCAGGCCCCGCTCAGGGCTATCTTGGCCTCACGGAGGATGACCTCGAATGTCTGGTGTGCCGGGAGCCCTACAGCTGTGCCCGGCCGCCCAAGCTGCTGGCTTGCCAGCACCCTTTCTGTGCCGTCTGCCTGAAGCTCCTGCTGTGTATCCAGAATGACACCTGGTCCGTCACCTGCCCGCTGTGCCGCAAGGCCACCACCGTCCCCGGGGGCCTCATCTGCAGTCTGCGTGACCAGGAGGCCGTGGTGGTGCGGCTGGCCCGGCCGTGCCCAGAGGTGCGGCTCTGTCCTCAGGGACTGGCAGCTTCCGCCACCTCGACAGCAGGGCACCCCGGCCAGGCGGGAGACGAAGGGCAGGACGCGGCAAGCGCTAACCGCGTGGCGGCCCGGCGCCTGGTGGCACACTTGCTCCTCCTGATCTTGCTCATCTTCATTATCCTGCCCTTCTTCTACCCGGGCATCATCCGGTGGATGGTGGCCATCATCATCATCTTGACCCTGCTGATGTCCACCTTCTACTGCTACCACCCGTGCAGCCAAGGCGGCTGCTGGCCTCCCGCTGGGACTCCCTTCTGCAGAGAACAGAAACACAGCGAGATCGCTTCCATTGCCTGAGTGCGCGCCGGACAGGCACCTGCTGCCTCTCGGGCCCCGTTCGGCTCACGTGAGCGGGGTAAGGGGCTATGAACTAAGGCTCGTTCCCTCGGGGGATTAAATGCCAGCTGGACTTGCAAGCCAAAGCCAGACGGCTGTGTTGGGTCAAGAACTACGTGCTTGGGTGATAGACTTCTGTGTGCCCACAGGACAGCCCATCTCAGCCGTCTGGGATGGGGGAGGAGGCACATACCACCTGATCGCCACGAGGGTCTCCTGTTCCTCGTATTCTATTCCTCCTGGTTTTCCTTCTTATGCCTTGGTGAACTTATTGCAAAAACAAATAGAACCAAGACTCTCTTTTTTTGCAATTCACGTATCTGGTTTTATTTTCTCACTTTGTCTGGTCTTTTGTGTTTGGGGCAGTTTGTTCATGTTTGTGGCTGTCACATGTTTTCCCTCCTGGGGAGTCGGAGCCCATGGGGAGTCCCCCTGCGCTGCCCACCTCATGCCGATACATCTCACCAAAGTCCCTGCGGTTTCGGTGTCCCCCTGATTGCCCCCAGGGATGGAGGGAGAGACTTTGTATGCAGGAGTGGTTCTGGGGCAGCTGGGGGGGGGGGCCCACATTGAGTTGGCAGAGTTGGGGAGGGGTGGAGGGGACACAGGGGAATCTGGGAATTGCTCCCAGCATCCCCACTGGATTTCCCAGCCCCTGGGTCATTGGGCTCTGGTTTAACAGAGAATCTCGGGTCTACAAGGACTAAGAGCCCCACCTCCCAACAGCAGATCCGCTGCGCATCAGGTGCCCCATCTCATGCAACAGAACCAACTCTTTATGGCTGCTGCTTTCTTGGTTTATTGCATTTCAATTCCCATCTGAGCTTTTGTCGTAAAGATAAGATGCCCCATAAATGCAACGGTCCTTGACAATAACGCCACCTTTCCCGCCTCACCCTGACAGTCCTGGTTGTCGGAAAGGCTGCTCTGGAACACAGAGGAGGCTTCTGCTGGAGGGAATGACCTCCCATGGTTGCCAGGCTCACGTCTAGCCGGAAGGGACCTTTGGGCGTGCAGGGGAGTGGAGGGCGGGAGATGATACCTTGTTTCCTTCCAAAGGCTTCGTAATTGGGAAGCAGACTTGAAACCTCAGAGGGGCTCACTGAGCACAATTCATTGTCCTTCCCTACTCCCCCCTTCCTCCCAGTAAGATGACAGTTTCTGGTCATACCTCTGTCGGAGAGGAATGAGAGCACTCCGACAGCAGAGCACAAAGGGTTGATCCTGGCCCCATGGGCATGTCTTGTCCAGCAAGGCGCTTTGCCTCTCTGAGTTTCATTTTCCCTGAAATATGCTAATTGGACTGAATTTTCTCCTAAGACCCCTGAAGCCCAGGAACTGAGAGCGCTACTCCGTCCCTGAACAGTGGACACAAGTCACATCTCCTCTGAACCCACACGAAGAAAACTCAGAATATAAGTATGTATGCAATTAGCTGTTCCTGACATCGGGGTGCCTGCCTTTATTCCTTATACAGATATTTCCAAGGAAACTCTATGACCCCCATGCTATTGGCCTTATTGACTCCTTGAGAGAGCATATGTGAGTGTGAGTACATATGCATGTGCTCACACACTTAAGCCAAGGTCCAGTGGGCCTGAAGAACACCCTGTCCTCCCAGGACGAGTCAATGATGGAAACTATTCCACATTTCCTGAGCTGGCCTCGGGCAGGTGCAGTTTGGGATGGTTCCCAGTAGGATAGGGAAAGAACATTCTCTTCCCACTCACCTCCACTCCCATGCCATCTAGTTCTTAGACTCTCCACCAAGAAGAAAACCTCCACCAAGGTCTCAGTCGCCAGTGATACTATTTCCACTATCAGGATGGCGGCCACATGTTTATTGAGTGTGTATTATGCACCAAGGACTGCGCTAACTATTTTATATGCTTTATCTAGCTGAATCTTCGGCCCAACCTTAGGAAGTAGAAATCATCTTGCCAATGAAGAGGCTGGGGATCAGAGAGGTAAATGCACCTGCCGAAGGTCACACGGCCAATCGCTTCCAGAGCTCCCCAAGGAATTAGTGCAGTGTTCTTTCTGCCCCATTAAGCTGCCTCCTTCACATGCAGTTCTGAAACAACCAGAAAGCTGGCTGCTGTCTGTGGGCTTGCAAGGGAGAAACGGGAAATAACCTCAGGAGCCTCTAAACTCCAGGGATCAGGTGCGCAGAGAGGCCAGAGAATTCCAGAACCCATTGTCTAAGCTACAGAGAAAACAGAAGTATAAAAATGGAATGGCTTCCCTATAGACTTCAACTACCCAGCCCCAACCTCCCCTGCAGGAAGCTACGTGAGCACATGGCCCCAACCGGTGTGCCCTGCATTCCCCCTGCCCCAGGGGAAAGAGGCCCTGACAGTGCTGTCCCCACCCCCTTTGAAGCCCAGCTGGTCCCGACCCACACGGGGAGCACTAGAGGCCAACATTGGTGCTGGCTGTCCCGGGCTGGGCGAGAGAACAGAGGAAACAGACGGGGCAGCCAAAGGCTGCATGTGGAAGAAATCAGAGAGGCAGGCCTAGGCTCAAAGCCAAGTCTGACCCAGTGTGTGACCAGTAGAAGTTATAGGACTTCTGTGAGCCTCACTTTGCTTGCCTATAATGTGGAGAAGGATGCCACACACCTTCCAGAGCCCCCGTGAGGATTCAGAATGCTACTGAGTGAGAATCCCATGTCCTAACAGGCTGCCTTTATCATCAGTCAGTGACCCCTGTGGGTGAATGGGCTTTCTGGGGCCTGTTCAGTATGACAGCAGGCTGGGGACCGGCCTTGGCAGTGGGGTAAAGCCAGTCCAGAGTGGGAACATTGTCCAGGACAGGCTGATCTGGGGGAGAACTTGGGAATTAGGGATTGCAGGGAGGGGCCAAATTTCACCCTCATTGGACCATCTCCCTATTCTGTGGCCTTCGAGTCCGACATACCTGGCTTAATTCTAGTGTCACCATTCACAGGCCACCTCACCTATACCTCGTAGGGTTGCCGGGCGAGTAGTAAAGTCATCCATGGCTGGGCACTGGGGACCACGAGGAATTAAAGAAGGGAGGGAGAAGACAAGGAGAAAGAGATGGGTTGAGTTCCAGAAAGCACTAACAGGCTCATCTTATTTTATTCGGTCTTATTGATAAGGAAGTCTGTTAAAGCCTAGAATTCACCTCTTCTGTTATCAGCCTCAGCATTAGCAGCGTTTCCAACAACAATTAACAAAATAATTGCTGATGTGACTTGAATGCACCACGCAAAGCATATTACAAGTGTTTTCACGTATGCTGTAAGATAGGTACTATTATTACCCCCAGATTACCAACAGGGATGCTGAGGCACAGGGAGGTTAAGTAACTTACTCGAGATCACATAGTGAGGCAGTGGTAGGGCAAAGAGTATACCGCAGAAGTCCAATTCCAGAGTTTGGACTTTGAGTCACTTAGCTGTATCTGATGGAACGTTCCCGGAATATCGTGAGTGTTCGCGGTAGACAATCTGTCTGCTTCGAGTCCTGACTCTGCTACTTACTGGCTGTATGAATGAATTCCTTATTTCAAACTCTCTGAACCTCAATTCCCACATCTCTAAAAAGGGGAAATAATCACAGACTAGTGAGCATCGAACCCATGGAGACCACTAGCATGGTATCGTGGTACAGACCACAGGCCAATTACCCAAATATTAACTGCTCTAGTTAGGCAAAAAGATGAAGGTACTGGCTTATATAACCAAATGGTGGGAAAGGCAGTTTCCTGGCGGGCATTGGTAATGATGAAATTCGGGTCTGGGCCTTCTTCATTCAGACTACTTTTCCCCATTTCTGTCTCCTTTTCTCTCTGCATTTGGGTTTTTGTTCTCTCTAGTCAACTTTTTCCATTATCTTGGTAACGTGACCATCTCCTGCCAGTGGTGTCTTCTGAGCTTCACCTCCAGAAACAGAGTTAAGTCTCTTCCTTTGGTAAATGATGACAAATCCCAAGGAAGGACTCTGATTGGTTCTCTTAGGTCACATGCCCTCCATGACCAGCAGGGCTGTGATTTGCAGCCCCAGTAGAATCTTGTGATGGGGGAGAAGGACCTAGAACAAAGAATGGTGCTATTTGCAGAAGAATGAGGGGCACTGAGCAGACAGACAGTAGTGGATGGCCCCCATAGAGAACCTATGTGAGGGGCAGGTGTGTACCCCAATCCCTCACTCTGACCCCAGCTAATTAGAGGTCAACCTCCACCTTGATTGGAATTCTCTTTGAAGAGTTTGCCTCATCCCCACTCAATCTCTGTCCAGCCGGGTTCTGATGACAATAAACCATATTTGAATTTGGGGGGGAGAGTATGTGTCCCGAACCTGCCAATCAAAGCATCATTAGCCCCGACCGCAGAGTTTGGTTCAAGACTGAGCCAGTGACAGCTCTCCCTAGGAATCTTACTAGCACTACGCGGAGGGAGTGTTTTCTCCACCAGAGTTGCTAAGCTGGTAGAATGTTTGTCTGGATTTTCTGGTGTCAGTCTTGGCACCCTTAAGGGAAAGGTTTTTCTACCAGTAAAGCCAACCCAGAGGGAGGCTGAGCCCAGGGTTCTCCCTGATAGAGGGAAGTTCCTAATCATTTGTATTTGAGTACCCGGATCTGGCATGCCTGAAACATGACTTCCTTCTAGAGTTTTCAATAGCCCCATGAGTCAGTGAATCCCCTCTCTTTGCTTATACCATTTTGACTGGGCTGTTTCTTATGTACCACAGGAACGCTGACTCATTTGCACGTGCTTGAGTGACAAGGTCATGTGCAGTGAAAGTTATGGAGCTGATATGGGGCCATGTGCATGTCAAAGGTAGGAAGCTGCATGCAACTGACTAATGAAGTTGAAACTCACAGAGAGGCAGACAAGAGGGAGGCCACGTGGTCTCTGAGTGGCAAAGAGATAAGCCTCATGTCCTGACTTCGCTAATCACTCATCTTGGTGAGTCCTAGCTGTCTGCCAATCCTATCCTGCCTGTCCATATGACCCCTGTCATATCCTTGAATATTTCTCTTTAGGTCAGCTAGCTACCCAAAGAATTCTGATACCTCCTCATCCCTTCCCCAACATGAAAGCCAGTGCTTGGTGAGGCCTATGGCCTCTGTTGAGTGTTAAGTGGAAGAGGGTCTGGGGCAGGACACAGCATCTGTGAACTCCTAGGGCAGACAAGAGGAAGGGGTTGGGGCAGCCAAGGCAGGCCTCAGGAAGGCTATGGGAACCGGCTGGGTCTTGAAGCAAGGATTTGATTTGAATGGCCAGAAAAAAATGGGTTGAATGAGAGTATGGCAGGCAGCAGGAAGTGTG